TATGGTTGTGGTATCAACGTCTAGGACATCCATCTTTTTTATTACTTAGACATTTATTTCCTTTTGTTTTTCTCAAAAATAAAGTTTATGAGTTTCATTGTGAGTCCTACCAACTTGGTAAATAACACCGAGCTTCTTTCGCTCTTTGTAATAATAAAGGTTTAGTTCCTTTTTCTTTAATTCATTCTAATGTTTGGGGTTCCTCTCGTGTGATGTCACTGAAGGGTCATTAGTGGTTTGTTATTTTTATAGATGACTACTCTCGTGCTACTTGGGTGTACCTCATGAAAGAAAAAAGTGAGGTTTTTTCTATGTTTAAAAACTTCCATAAGATGATTAATACCCAATTTGGGGCAGTTGTAAAAATATTGCGTTCTGATAATGAGGGTGAATACATTGCTTATGGGTTGGCAAGATACTTTTCCACTTATGGCATTATCCATTAAGCATCTTGCACTAACACCCCTTAACAAAATGGGGTTGCCGAGCACAAGAACTGTCATCTCCTTGATATGGCTCGTTGTATGTGTTTTTCTATAGGCATCCCTCAGGCTTATTGGGGGCAAGGCCGTTCTCACTGCTGCCTATCTCATTAACCGTCTTCCTACACAAGTATTACAAAAAAGGGCACCTCTTCAAGTTCTACTGGATTCTAAGTTTGTTTTCAATTCCTCCAAAAACCTTTGACTGTGTATGTTTTGTTCACAATCATTCCTCGTCTCGGGGTAAGTTGGATCCTCGTTCTGTCAAGTGTGTGTTCTTGGGTTACTCGCCTACTCAGAAGGGGTATAAATGTTATCATCCTTCTTCTCGTAAATGGTTTGTGTCCATGGATATCACTTTCTTTGAGTCTCAATCTTACTTCTTGTCTAGTCCAGTCTAGTGTCCCGGTCCTCTGTTTAGGAGAAGTCTTGGTGTGAAAAGAGTCCTGTTGCTCCTATTGTTCTTGGCCCAATATCACCACCAATGGTACTTATTACTAAAAATACAGAATCCATTGTTGCCAAAAACAGAGAAGGGCAAGTCTATGTCAAGGATAAAGAAAGGCAGAAAGTTACTTAGATATAAGAGACCATTTCTAATCAATCACTGCCATTTCCTTCTCTTGATGAGGGTCCAAGTAAACCTGAAACTCCTGATATTGCTACCTCTGAGTCTGAGCCTATTGATCTTGATAATACCCATTGCCAGAGAACAGATGTGCAATCTTGTACGCACTATCCTATTTCTAACTTCGTATCTTATTCACATTTGTCCTCTTTATATAAAGTCTTTGTGTCAAAAATTTCCTCTGTCAGTATACCTAATCATTTTCAGGATGTTACTATTCTTGAATAGAAACTGGCCATGGTGGAGGCAATGAAAGCATTTCATAAAAATGGAACTTTGGATTTGATTGAGTTACCTAGTGAAACACAAGGTGATGGTTCAATTGAATGATGTAAGGCTAGACTTGCGACAAAGGGCTTTACTCATACCTATGGAGTGGACTACCAAGAGACATTTGCTTCAATTGCAAAAATGAATTCAATCAGAGTGCTTCTTTCTCTTACAACTAATCTGGATTGGCCACTTCACCAATTTGATGTGAAGAACCCTTTTCTTCATGGTGACCTGAAAGAAGAGGTATATATGGATATTCCTTCTGGTTTCGAAGCTCCTCAAACAAGGGGTAAGGTGTGCCAACTACAAAAATCCTTGTATTGTCTCAAACAGTCTCCTAAGGCTTGGTTTAAGAGGTTCACTCAAGCAATTCTAAAGTATGGCTTCAAACAGAGTCAGGTTGATCATATTCTGTTTGTTAAGCATTCGTCACATGCTAAGACCATTGCTCTTATTGTATATGTGGATGACATAGTGCTAATTGGAGATGATGAAGAGGAAATTTTTCTGTTGAAGAGGTATTTGGCAAGTGAGTTTGAAATCAAAGACTTGGAAAACTTGAAGTACTTTCTGGGAATCAAAGTTGCTCGCTCTAAGGATGAAATTCTCATCTCACAAAGAAAATATGTTCTTGACCTTTTGAAGGAAACAAAGATGCTTGGATGCAAGGCCTATGATACTCCACTCAAACCTAATCAGAAACTTGGTGATGATGAAGAGGGAGCAGTTATTGATAAGGGGAGTTATCAGAGACTAGTGTATCTCACTTTCGTCCTGATATTGCTATTGTTGTCAGTTGATTAGCCAGTTTATGCATACTTCTCATGAAATTCACTTGGAGGCTGTTATGAGAATTTTGAGTTATTTGAAATCTTCTCCTGGAAAGGGCCTTTATTTTTTCCAAACATGATCACCTTCGTGTAAAAGCCTATATAGATGCTGATTGGGCAGGGTCAATAACTGATAGGAGATCTACATCAAGGTATTGGTATTGTACCTTTGTGGGAGGCAATCTTGTTACTTGGAGAAGTAAGAAACAAAATGTGGTGGTTAGGTCGAGTGCAGAGGCTGAGTTTAGAGCTATGGTACGAGGTGTGTGTGAGCTCTTGTGGATCAAGCTGTTGTTGAGCGATCTTGGGATTAGCTAGACACAACCCATGCGACTATATTGTGATAATAAAGTTGCTATCAACATAGTTCACAATCCGGTTTAACATGACAGGACAAAACATGTTGAGATTGATCACCACTTCATCAAAGAAAAACTCACTAGCAGCATGATATGTACTCCTTTTTGTGAAATTCGGTGACCAACTTGCAGACATCCTCACCAAGGGGGTGGGGAGTAAAATATTTCATAATATTTTTGACAAGCTGGGCATGAGAGACATTTACGCACCAGCTTGAGGGGGAGTGTTAGAATATTACGTTATGATTTGATCTAGCTGTAATTTTCTTATTATGGACTTTCCTTATTTGTGCTTTAAGGCTTCCATTGTAAGCTTTGTATTATATATATAAAAAGGGGATGATTGTCACATCATTCCCTAAGTTTTTCCTTCTCTCAAACAAACAATAGACTAGTCATCCGAGACAACAAGGCATGCTGGCACTCTTGTCTCGTTCATTTGTTTGGCCGAAAATGGAAAATGATGTGGAGGCTTATGTCAAGACTTGCATGGTGTGCCAACTAGACAAGACAGAAGGAAGAAGGCGATTGGGTTGTTACAACCGCTGCCAGTCCCTGAGAAGCCTTAGGTTTCAGTGTCAATGGACTTCAGCTCCGGGTTTCCTAAAATCAATGGGATGCGTTCCATCATGGTAGTTATTGACCGTTTTTCTAAGTATGCTATATTTATTCCTGCTCCCCACGCTTGTCCCGTTGATATTGTTGTAGATTTGTTTTACAAGTATGTAGAATAAAATACTTTGGCTTGCCTAAGGACATAATTAGTGACAAGGATACCCGGTTTATGAGAAGGTTTTGGACTGTGCTTTTTAATTTATTAGGTTCAGAATTAAAGTTCTCCATAGCAAATCACTCTTAGACGAATGGGCAGACCAAGAGGTAGAATAGGTTGCTCAAGGAGTATCTCCGATATTATATGACCGCAAGTCAGAAGAATTGGGTTGAATTGTTGGATAGTGCACATTTTTGTTACAATTTGCATAGATCATCTACAATTAGGATGAGTCTGTTTGAGTTGGCCATGGGGCAACAGCCCCTAACTCCTTATGATGTGGCTAACATATGCTCTAGTAGTAGATGTCCATCAGCATACAGATTTGCAAGGGCTAAACAAGAGTTTCTTGATGAACCACATGATAGTTTGGCTAAAGCAAGCAAAAGAATGAAGAAGTATGCTGACAAAGGGAGGAGACCCTTAGAGTTCAAAGTGGGAGACAAAGTGCTACTCAAGCTTACTTCTCAAATTTGGAAGAAGATAAGCAATAAGGCAATGCACCGTGGTCTAATTTCGAAATATGATGGTCCCTTTGAAATCTTAAAACGTGTGGGAAATGTTGAACACAGATTGGTATTGCCTGATCGGTTGAAAATCCATCTAACTTTCCATGTTAGTTTTTTGAAACCTTTTCATGAGGATCATACTAACCTAACAAGGACGCAGGCTCAGAGGGCACCTCCAGTGATCAGAAAGTAGTTTGATAAAGAGGTAGAATGGATTCTTGATTACAAGATCGAAGGGCAGAGTAAAAAGAATCGAAGAACTCATTACTTAGTGAAATGGAAGGGTTCCCAGAATCTGATAAGAGTTGGGAAAAAATATAACATTATGGCAGTTTGAGAAACAAGTCAAAGAGTACTTGATGACCTTGCCAATGAGGACGTTGGCTTTTTCTGGTGAGGGTGGTCTGTTAGCATCTTGATATTTGGGAGCTAGCGGCCAGACACTTGGTGGCCCTTTGCACCTATGCCAGATGTGGACCGCGACATGAGGAAGGCATGCCAAAATAACAAGGTGGGCAATCAGTTGTGTCGTTCGGTGGCAGCACTCAACCCTTAGCCAAAGTATGGATTGTAAGTTTTCTGAAGAATTTGTATATTCAATTGTGCCATAATACAAAGAATACATCTGATTATATAGTAATCCTAACCTTAAGACTAAAAAGGAAAAGGAAACACTGCTATATATATACACAATATACACTACCATATATGTAAACCTAACCTAATATTCTCACACCCCCGTTCAAACTCAAGGTGCTTTAGCATAAAACATTGAGAGTTTGCCAAGAAGAAACTGAAACCGAGCAGTGGTGTGAGTCTTGGTAAAGAAGTCAACAAATTACAAAGTCGAAGAGATGAAAGGAAGTGAGATAGAGCTAGAATGCAAATGTTGACGGACAAAGTGACAATCAATCTCAATATTCATTGTTCGCTCATGGAAGACAGTGTTATGGGCAATCTGAATAGCACTACGGTTATCATAATAGAGGGAGGTCGGAGAAGACTGAGGGACGCCAAAGTTAGAGAGAAGACAACGAAGCCAGACAACGAAGCCAAACAACTTCAGCAGTAGCATGAGCCATAACACGATACTTAGCTTCGGCACTAGAATAGACAACAGTAGTTTGTTCCTTACTTTTCCAAGAAATCAAGGAATTGCCCAGAAACCAGAAGTGGACTTACGATCTGTAACATTACCAGCCCAATCAGCATCAACATAGGCTACTAAAGCCAAGGAAGAAGTAAAGGACAATAGTAAACCTTGAAATATAGCACCCCGGAGATAGTGAAGAATTCGAACCAAAGCAGCCCAATGTGTAGAATAAGGAGCAAAAATGAACTGACTAACCACGTGAACATCATAGGCAAGATTAAGGCGAGTAACCGTCAGGTAGATTAAGCAACCCATGAACTCTAGATATAAAGTAGGATCAGGTAGAGGAACACTATCAGTAGTGTTAAGTTTCACATTAAGCTCAATGGGGGTATCAGCAATCTTGGTGTCAATAAGACCAGCATGGTGAATAACTTCATTAGCATACTTGGCCTGAGACAGAAAGTAACCCTTGGGAGAAAAAACACCTCAATACCATGAAAGTATTGCAATGGACCCAAATCCTTCATTTCGAAGGTGAGGAAGAAATTTTGCTTGACCTCAGAGATAGTAGAAGAATCAGAGCCAGTAATAATCATATCATCCATATACAGTAATAAGATAACAAAACTAGCAGAGGTGTGGAGGAGAAACAAAGCAGAGTCCTGAGTAGAAAGATGAAATCCAAGCTCAGAAACAACAGTCTGAAAGCGATCATACCAAGCACGAGAAGATTGCTTCAGACCATACAGAGCACGCTGAAAACGACAAACCTATCCAGAGGAATGGTGAAGGCTAGGGGGAGGACGCATATAAATCTCCTCAATGAGATGACCATTAAGAAAATCATTTTTAATATCCATCTGATAAAGAGGCCAATGTCGAACAACAGCGACATATATCAAAGTACGAACAATAGTCATTTTGGCAACAGGGGCAAAGGTCTCCTTATAATCAATACCATACTCCTGTGAAAAATCCTTGGCAACTAGGCGAGCTTTGTAGCGCTCAAGAGAACCATCAGAATGAGTGTTGACTTTGTAGACCCATTTGCAACTAACCAGATTCTTACCAGCAGGCAAATGAACCAACTTCCAAGTACTAGTTTTCTGAAAAGCAGACAACTTATCTTCCATAACTTAAATCTAATTAGGATCCTGACAGGCCTCTGTAGACCTGACTTTCTTCGCGCGCCCCCCTTTCGGAGAGGCACAAATTGGTCTTCTACAGTTCGAACTCTTATCAAGGTTCTGAATCTAATCTCACAAAGTGCAATGTGAGATTGATAAACACCAAAGAGTTTTGGAAAATCATATTTTAAATCAAATAATGCCAAACTGGACTACTTTGCCAGATTACAGAGTCGCCACCTAAATATTTTGTTTTTGAAAAATTTAGGAAACCCTGACTTGTGCCAAAGGCCACGTGTCCGTCATCACCAAAGTTGCCTCAGCTCGGGAACTTGGGTACGAGAGGGGAACGTCCTGAAATGAGCACCCCCGCTCGCCTGATCAAAGGATCGGCCTCTACTATCATGATATGTTGTTTGATAAATCTCATGTGTTCTTATTCTGATTATTAGCTAACTTTACTATGTGACGCACACAAGCAAGTATAGACTAAGTCGCAAGACTTGGAACAAAACAATTAATGTTTGTTTTCGAAAATGGTTTGAAATTGCCACTCGCAAGTGGGCTAAAGCCCGGATTTGCCACCCTTAAGTGGGCTTGAAAACATGATTTTGCCACTTTGCAAAGTGGGCTTAAAATGCACAATCATCGAATTGTTCCAATTCAAGCAACAAAACCTTCATCCCCAGGCATTCAAGCAGTTAATCATATAAGCAAATAGCCTCATGGCAAGCATGCTATCATGGCAACACTTACACTCATGCAAGTGTGCTAAAGCGTAAAACTTACAGTGTACTCCAAGCCAAAACAAAAACTAGTTAGAAATATGCATGATACTAATTATATAAAATGCCTAATGCAACACATGCAATATGCAATTCAATAGGCTCGGCTATCTAAGATGGCATATGAATGCAACAATTTGATACACGTATTCAACTAAGTATTGAAATACAATGCAGTTTGAATGATGCGCCGAGCCCGGTGCATGCAAGACAAATGAATGGATGCAAACATGCAAAGCATAAGGTATGCTAATTGAAACATGCCCTAAAACTAACCATCGAAAGCGGTTAAGTAAAAAGGAGAAAGAAGTAGGGTTGGAAGACATGCACACACACACGCACACTTATTACAACATTGCGCCCTATCGAAGGAGGGTCCGAATGAATAAGCTAGGCTACACTAAGCTAAGCTAATTATTACAAACCAACTAATTAACTATTCTAAGCTAATTATTACAACACAATTGAAATTGAATAACTAGCTACGCTAAGCTAATTAAGTACAATACTCAAATCAAATAATTAGCTACAACTAACTAATTAAAGCAAGTAAAGTGGCCTCGCGGGCAAGGGAGACATGCATGCTCGGTTACGTCCTCTCAAAAATCCATCGCTTGGCTGTCGGTTGCCTTTGTTTGCACTTGTCTTAACCTCCGAAAATTGCACAAACTTCCAGAATGCTTCTGCCCTAACTCAGATACACTTTTGCACAAAAATAGACTGGTGGCCGGTTGGCCACAAAAAGTGGCTGCCCGCGACCTTAACTGGCCGATCGGCTAGTATAAGTGGCCGGTCGGCTACTGCAAGTGGCCTGTCGGCCGCCCATTTTTCCAGGCTTCTGGTTTTGCTGCAGCAGAGAACAACAGAGGCCCAGCAATGTATTTTTCAATGAATGTGTGTACTGCTACACTCCTTATCATGTCTCAAGCTCAAAGGAGTGTAACACTTGGCTCTCAAGCCACCAATCAAGCATTTTCATGCATAATGGCCAAAGAGTCAAGCTTGTACAAGCTTTAATGAATGCACAAATAGATTCAAAGGACCACCACCCTATCATGCATGATTCAAGGGTAGTAGCGACCAAGAAATGTGACACGTTTCATCACTTTGAGTATGAAACGTCTCACATTTCTTATGTTTGGATTAACGTCCGATCCAAACACATGCAATGCAACACAAATGCTTATCTTGCACAAGTTTTACTTTGCTCATTTTGTTTACACATTTTACATTACCGATTAAGTCCAATGTGAAAGTCCTCTAATGAGAGAGGGGTCAACCAAAAGACGGTTTAAGACATGAGAGAGATCATGCCTTTGGTTAGGAGGAACCCACAAAAGAGGGTTAAAGCCATTGGGCACAAGCTCTATCTCAAGCTTAAACACAATCATAGGGTTAACCAACCCTCAAAACAAATGGAAAAATGAAGAAATGGAGGAGGTTACAGGCTTTTTAGTACTGAAATGGCATGCTAAAGACCTTAAATCATGCAAGCAACACATGCAAGACATGTTCAAAGCCAAAAGCATTAAAGCTAGTGAAGAGCACTACACTAGAGGCATGTAATATCAAGCTTAAATGACCAAACCAGCTCTGGACAGAGCTTAAACATGCCAAAACAGTGGCTAAATCATGCTGGAATTGAAGCATAAAAAGCTATAAAAACATGCTCATGTGTTGGCTCGTAAGCTAGGTTGAAAACACAACTCTCAAAAGCAATGAAAGTGTGAAGTATGTGAGAGTGTGACAAGGCTATACACACTGAAATCATGTATAAAATGATGCCATATCATGTAATCAATACATGCACAAAATGTTAGAGACCTTGAAACACAAAGCTAGTGAAACCAATTACACTATAGCTATACAAAACAAGTCTCATATGACCAAGAAGGCTCAAAACATAGCTAAAGCATGCTAAATCAGTAGCAAAAACATGCCGAGATAGAGCCACAAAAAGGTAGAAAAACATGCTCACATGCTAGGCCATTGTAATACCCCTATTTCGTAATATGTTAATTGGTCCTTAATATGAGTATGATTATGTGTTTAATATGATTTTTGTGTGCCATTATGTGGTTTTGAATTTCTATCTGTTCACCGTAGGAATATCTGTTTGATTATCTGCTTTGGAAATTAAATTGAAGGCCTTATCGGCTACAGAACCCGAAATTGATTGCGCCATTGTGATTGACATAATTTTTAGAGCCTACGGTAAAATTTAATTGAAAATTGATTCGAGTCAGATTAGATTAATTTAATTAATGGTTTAGTGCCCAACTATTTGATATTTATATTTTTTGCTAGTGGGACTTATTTTAAATGGGCATTCTACACTCAATTCCCTTTTTATATTCATTTGGGCTGATTTCAACTCTAAGATAAGAGAGGGGAGGGTCGGCTATAGAAGGAAAAAGGGAAGAGTTGTGCAATTTTGGTTCAAGACTTGAATCTCTTGAAGATCTAGCTCTAGATTTGGCTAAAGCTTGAGTGTTGAAGCTCTTAGGTGAGTGGATTCATGGACTCTTGTTTGTAATTTGTAAGTTCAAAGTTGAAAATGTTAAAGAACATGAATTGAGTTGATTTTGTTAAATTTGAAGTCTTAGAACACATGCATGTAGGAAATTGTTATGAATTTTCATATTTGAACACAATATGTGTGTCATTGCTTTGAATATTGCATGTTTGAGCTCAAAGGGGTATGATCCATGTAAGTTTGTAATCACCATTGGTATCATCTAAGTTGAGAATGGAAGCTAGACATCACATGCATGTACAATCTATGAAGATAAGAGCTTTGAATGCATGAATGTGTATGTTAGAATTGAGTTTGGTGTCAATTTGAGCCATGCATGTGTTAAATCTTTGAAATTGAGCTCCATGTTGATGTGTTTTGGTGTTTATACCATGTTAGTACAAGTATGTGTGGAATTGGAGCTATAAAATGCATGAAATGTTGGTTGAGAGTTGAATTTGAACTCAAGAACACAATCTGGGAAACCCAGAACTTTGATGTCCGCTTGAGCGGGGTAATGGACGCTCGAGCGGGAAATATGTGCTCCCAGTACTTTTTGCAGACTTGGTGTTCGCTCGAACGGGGTATTTCACGCTCGAGCGGGAGAGCTTTGTAGACAAGCCTTCTGCTCGAGCGCCCTATTTCACGCTCGAGCGTATTTTTCATGCAACCCGTACTTTTGTAGGCCTTAAGGGTTCGCTCGAGCGGGGAAGTCTACGCTTGAGCGGGGACCCTGTTTTCTGAAATTTTGTTTACGCGTTCTGTGTTTCGTTTTCCGTCCTCTTTCACTTCTAATCACTCTTAGGCATACTTTGAGCATTGTAATTGAATTAAAGAGATGAGAATGAAGCCTAAAGAGGAAAATGTGAATTAAAGAACGGATTAAATTAATTGTGACCCATATGTGTTATGTGATGTGTAGGGCCAAGCTTCAGGGCAAATCCACAAGCCGATCACTGTGAGTAATATCTGAAATATTTTGCTATCCAATTGCTCACTTCTATGTAAGTTTTGTAAAGTTCATTAATTTTGAATGGTGGACACAGTTTAACATGATAAGTTTGAAAGGCTTAAATGCCAATTTGATATGACAAGTTTGAAAGGCTTAAATGCCAGTTTGATATGATAAGTTTGAAAGGCCTATGAGCCAGTTTGATATGAAAGGCCTATGAGCCAGTTTGATATGAAAAGCCTATGAGCCAGTTTGATACAAAAGGCCTATGAGCCAGTTTGATACAAAAGGCCTATAAGCCAGTTTGATATGAAAGGCCTATGAGCCAGTTTGACATAAATGTGGGCCGAGGGCCGATGGACATGAATGAATGGGTCAGAGGCCGTTTTGACATAAATGAATGGGTCAAAGGCCAGTTTGATCTGAATAATACGAATGAATTGGACCCAAGGCCGTATGATGTGTTGGGACCTCAGTTACTTAACTTACATATGTTTATGTATGCATGTGTTAGTTAGAAATGCAAATTGGGCCCAAGGCCGTTCGATGTATATTGTTCCAATGTATATTCGTTATTTGATATTATTCACTAGGCTATCGCTCACGCTCATTCATGTGTTTGAAGGTGAGCTAAGAGAGGTCCAAACCCCGCCCCAGTGAAGCCAGTGTGGAACAACTAAGGTTTAGAGAGTCAGCCTTTGCGTCTCACGTACGAGACACATATTCGCCCTTTTGCCATTCTATGTAATTTTGT